AAATGAAACAGCATTTTAATATACATTAAAATGAAACAGCATTTTAAGTGGGTTCCAGGCAGACAAGCTGTATTCAAGAATTGGTCTGGCAAAGGTTTTGTATACCCTAGTTAGCAAGTCAATGTTACCAGAGAAGAAGCTTCACAAAATAAGGCTAACAACTCTTAATGCTTTTTTGGCGATGCTGTTACAGTGAACTCTGGGGCTTAGATAGTTTGAGATAAGTACTCCTAGGACCTTGACAAAGTGAGGGTTGTCTACGAGATCATTTCCGCCCAACTTATATTTGGTGTTCTGATTTTATTCTTTTTATTTTATTTTTATTCTTCCATCATAGGTAGATCTTATTTTTTAATTGAATATTATGGCTTTTCAAGTAGGCACCATATAGATCAGTGGCTGAACTTTAATTCATGTTTTTTAATCCCACATTTAATCCAGACCTCTCTATGTAGAACTGGGAAAACACCTGTTTGAAAACATGGGGATCTTCTGTTTTTCAGTATCAGTCATATTAGGTTAGATGGATGAATGAATAGAGTTATAGGTAGCCCTCAACTTATGACCACAGTTGGAACCATAATTTTCATTTCCATTGCTAACCAAGGCCGTTGTTACACAAATTTGGCTTTTCTCATTGGCTTTGCTTATTAGAAGCCAGTTGGGAAGGTCACAAATAGCGACTGACCCTGGGATGCTGCAACTGATGTGAATACATGCCGGTGGCCAAGCATCCAAATTTTGATCACATGACCGTGAGGATATTGTGATAGTCATAAGTGGTTGTAAGTCACTTTTCTCCATGCCATTGTAACTTTGAACAGCTGCTAAATGAATGATTGTAAATTGAGGACTACCTGTGTTTAGTATGAGACAGTTTGCTATGTTCTTGGACTAAAAAGAGAGAAAATAATGTCAGCTAGAAGAAATGTGTTTGTTAAAATTAGTGAGGACTTCCCTGTCTCCATTTCATGTAACTGATATGGTGGAATTTTGCATCATAGCAAATATTACAGGAGAAATCCTACCAGCTTCAGTACCAGCTCAGTGTAGTCCAGAATTTCACCCTCAACTTATCCTTCTTAACCTGCCAGTTCCATCTAATAAGTAATTCCAGGCAATCTAAAAATGGGACCCGGTCATCTCCCTAGTCTTATAAATTGCCATAATATCTAGTTATACTAGCTAAAGATTATGGGAGCTGAAGTCCAAACCATCTGAAAAGTACTAGGTTGATGGGGATCTGTCTTAAATCATGTTCTATGTTATTCCTTACACCAATTAAAGCCAAAACTCTGTGCTGTGACTTTCATTGTTCATTTTTGAACATGCTACCATTTCACATACGGTTGTGTATATAAATGTATGTGTATGTACTCTTATAGCTGTTCTTCTGACAGGAAAACCAAGGATTTGCTTCATTTATTATATGAGAGGGATAGGAGATTCACCTCATCCAATTTAGTAGGATTACAATAGTTCCTTTCTGCTAATATGGTAGTAGAAACTGCCTGAGCCAAATTGTTTCACAAAATATCTCAAAAAATAGTCATTTCTTTGTAAATTCCCTCCAGGCCTGCTGACAGATGGCTGCCAAAGCTGGACTATGGTAGTAGGCAGAATCCAGGGAACAGAAAGAAAGAATCACAACCAGGTCAAACTCATGCACAGCTTTTCTCTTGGTTGACACCATCATAAAGGAAAGGAGTTTTCTCCAATAGCTCAGTGGCCTTGGGGAATTCTGTCCATATGCCTACCCATTTTCATCCATGTTTCTTTACATACACACAGGCAAAACATATACACAGAGACATAGCCTGTCCATTTAATATATTTCTTGTTCTGTTCATCTGAATTTATCTCAGTTCTCAGGATCTCCGTACATTTTACCTCTGCAATTCTCTGGGCGTTCTGAATTTATTTAGGCATTTCAAATGCAGCAAGGCTTGTATAGAATACTGACTCTAAACCCGGGTTCGTCTAGATTTTCATCTCTGGTCTCAACATCTCCATTAAAGCCAAAAACAAAAGACTTTGAATTTTAAAATGGAGGTGCTTACTTAGAGGTAAAAGAATATTGGAAGTCTATTTTCTGGGGGGGGAAACTGCTGACATTTCACAAGACAGTTTGAGCACAACAAAAAATATCCCATACTCTGCAGTTATGATTCAAGGCACCACTGACTGGTTTGCCTTGGTGGCCAGATGATTTGGTGATTATTTTCTGAGTAAAATTGTGACATTTTGCTTTCCATGGACACAAACTCTGCTGTGACATTTGGAGACAGAGCAAAATGATTCAGTTAAATATATATATAGAGAGAAAATAAAACATTGGTTCCCATATGTCTTAATATTTATATTTATATTGCTTCTCTGCCATAAGCTGAGATGTGCATCAATCATTTGTCCTTTCTTGCAGCCTCTTGATTTCTCCTTTTATACAAGTCAGCAATCAAATTTTCTTTTCCCTCCATGTCTCCAAACTGAAAAACTTCAAACCATAACAAAATATCTTGGTGAACTTAATAGAACAAGGAAGTTCTTCTGTACTGCATGTACAGCTAAGTGTTTATTTCATTTCTGCCCAGTTCCAAAACCAAAATTATTAATTAGATTTTTTTAAAAGTGTGGGAAGGGATTATCTGTTCAAACTTTCTTTGTATGAAATGACAAATTATTAAATATGCATTTATGTTTATTTATATTTATTAAACAAATTTATATAGGTTCCAAACTCACACAATGTGACTGTGGGCAATATACGGCAATAAAAAGCCAAAATTAAAAACCCACCCCTCCTCCCATAGTAGTGACAAATCCAATCAAACAAGCCACTTGATCAGCTCAGTATCAACCCAATGTCTCCAACAGAACCATATTTAGAGGGTCTTTCAGAAAAGTAACAAGGTGTGTGTGTGGGGGGGGTCAATTTTATCTCTGGGGGAATGATCTTCCGCAAGGAGGGAGCCACTATAGAGGAAGACCCTTTTTCTTGATCTCACCGAATGTATTTTTTTGATAGATGGGAGTCACATGTCCTACTCAGATAGAGGTAACTAGGGAGAAGTGGTCCTTCAACAGCCTCACCCCAAGTCATGTAGGGCTTTAAAGGTGATAACCAACTTCTTTAATTGCACCTGGAAATAAATTGGCAACCAATACAGCTCCCCCCAAAAGAATTGGCACCTGTTCAAATATTGTGAATATTGAAACACATGAATGGCATAGGTAGCTTGACAAATGAATTTTGAAAATACTTATGATCTGTAATTTTTATTTTTATTTTTACAGGGCTGAAATTATTTTGGGAAACATTATCAAAAAGAAAGGCTGGAGGTAGGATGTTTTGTTGTTTATATGCTGTTTGCATTAACTGTAGAATGGAGAATAATTCAGACTCAGAAAACTCTGCCAGCTTGTGCTTCTAAGGCTTTTCAGACCTGATCTCATATCCAAGCCTATTGCCTGGCTAATTCTGAGCTTCCTATTTCTGTAGGAGATCATAGAGACCAACTTCTACCAACTGCTCTATTGATGGTTTGCTTAAGAAGCTGGAATACTTCCAATAACTTGCCCTTATGGAGCTAGGCAAAGTTTTGAAGATATCTTTAAATAACTATAAAAGATTTGTTCCACTTACCTTTTCCAAGTTTCTGTTTAGGTTTATACAGATCCAAATTTTATTGAGATTGTCCTGATTTAATGCATGTGTCTGGTCATTCTATCAGTTTATAGAAAAATAAACATCAATGTAGTCATGTGCTAATGTTTTATGACTCTATCTACAATAGTGTTACAATTTTTTCAGTCTTTGCCTTTGAAAGCAAAGGGAAAGGCGGGATGTTTAAGGGCTAAACCGACTCTCTCCCTTTTCCTGAGGGATATTGATGTAGGTACCTGTCAGAATTTGCTTCCCCTTTGTGCAAACAGAATATAAAAGAATGGTACCCTTCAGCTTTACCTTTTTAAAGCCCATTGACTTCATCATGGTTCAACTATTTGAAAATGCAGTGCCAACATATATCCTCCCCACAGTGCTTGTCTATACAGGTGGGGAGGTGCAGGCTATCAAAAATCTGTTTCTCTCTGCTGCCAATGTGTGCAGAGTAGAAACACTTGCCAGACTGAAAGAAAGATGGAAACGGAATTCATTTAATCTCTTTCACTTTTTTAAACTTTAAAAAGCCCAACATGCTGTGTACTTTATAGAGAGATCACAGTCTGAATAGTCAGTCATATGACAATTCAGGGAAACAATGAAGAATGGAAAAAATTTCTCACTCTCTTTTTGAAGGAAAGAAAGCCAAAGTACATAATATAGATCAAAAATGTTTTCAGGTGCCTGATACAAGCAAATGGATGAACTGCTATATTTTCTGAGGTTCAAATGGTTTTACTTCCAAGATCTTGAGAGATCTCATGAGAGAATCATACCAAATTTTAGCTACAGTTGCTGCTGTTTCTCACTACTTCCTACTATTACTAATAGCACTACTTTTAAATAACATTGAACATAAAAAGAAAAAAAATAGAACAATTGAAAAAAGAAACAATTATGTATAGTATATTGTACCATTATATTACTACAGTGTTGTTTTATTCTGGGGTTCCAAGGGCATTGTCAAATGCTGCACAGATTCATTGCCAATGATAAATGGGAACGCTCTGTGGCTGCTTCAGCATGTATTTTAGATATTTGTCATGATGATAAGCTATCTCTGTTTTCTCAGATCTCTCATCCTATGGATGTTTTCTTAAGAAAAGAATTAGACTGAGCATTCAATCACAACCCTACATCTTTAACATGTAGAGGTCATAATGTTAGCAATTGCACTAAGTCTTTCAGATGACTTTCTGTTTAGAGACATAGCTTAAATTGGCAATGTAGGAGGTGAGACTGCATTTGGAAAAACATGGACGACATTGGTATTTCTTAAGGAATCTGTTTTGAACAAAGTTGAAATTTAATTTGCTTTGTTTGTTTAGGAGATCAAGTCTGGTCATTACAACAAAACTCTACTGGGGTGGAAAGTAAGTATTGAATGCTATGATTTCCTTTGCTATGGAAATAATGAATTTCTCTAGCTTTGTGTGTGTGTTTATATAATACATGCTTATATCATAAGTATCAACATGACATGGTATTACTTATTACATCTCGGTTGGTGAAGGCACTAATTTGGCCTCTTCTCCCCCCCCCACCACCACCAAAAAAACAGGCATACCTTTTGATTTTAAAACTGGTTATTCTCTCAGTAAATGTGTTTGGAGAAGATTTCAGATGTTGGAAAAAGAAAAATTATTGGATGTGCTCAGTTAATTAGAAGGATGCCATGCTTTCTCCAGTTTCTCATTCTCCTTTCAAAGGCCCTTTTTTGGATGGTCAAAAACCAGGATTTAGCATGATCTGTAAATCACTTAAAGTCTAGATTTGTCCAGAGAACATTTGCTAAACTTAATTTTTTGCACAAAGTACGACTTAAAACTAAAACTTTGAAATTCTGGTATCATGTCTATTTTCAAAAGATAACACAAATGCAACATATTTAGCAATGTAATATTTCATTTGAAGATTGAAATGTGTGAATCAAACATGGCACTGAACCATAGCTATTTAGCACACAGTGTGCAGTTGTAAATTCAAACCATAAACCTGACTCTGTCCAGAGTCCCAGAAATGTTGAAATACTGACAAAAAGGATACTTCTCTTGAACACAGAAATATCACAATGAAACATGGAGTATTTCCCCATTTGTACCTAACCATAGCTAAACATGTCCTATTGTCCTAACATCCTTTTTTTTCCTCATACAGTTGCATTTACCTCATCATGTGCCTATCTGAGGCAACTTAATATATTATTCTTGGTTGTTTCCCCTTAAACAAGCAACAAGCCATGGAAACTTTACTACTTTACTCATCTATCATTCAATCAATGTTACTTTTGAAGCTTTAGGCTTGATGCAAGCATCCTCCCTTGCCCCTACTCCCTGCACATTGTCCTTCAGGCTCATTCTTTTGGGGGGCTGTACGGAAGTGTAAATGTTTCAAAATAGATAGTTTCATAAACTCACCAAGTCTCCAACTTGATCTTTAGATTAGCAGTAGCATAGAAGTATGAAATGAGCAAGGGCCATTCCCTTTCCTTACTTCAGTGGACCTCTGACTGAAGTCTAAAGCTAAATGTTAGTGGAAATCTCACTTGCCTGTCAGTTGTTGTATGATCTTTCAGAAGAACCCCAAACCAGTGGTTAAAATTAGTCCTCACATCTGGCAGATTCACTGAGGAATGGTCCTAAGAGGAACTAGGAAGAAGTTCTCCCACTGCAATAAGCACCTGTTCCAAACCCTTCCATTTGTTCTTTTTTAAAATATATGTATATATAATTTTTTTATTTTATTTATACAAAGACTCCCTTTTTAATTTGAACAGTGTGTCATCTGGGTATAAATCTGTTGTGCAATAACCATGATAGTTTATACATATTCATTGCTTAACTTTAATACTCTGTTCTTACTTAATACTAATCTGTATCATATATCTAATTCTTATAACATTCCCCATCTTAACATTTTTAATTCTTACCACATGTTTACTATTTTGCGCTAGTCTTCTTTATTTTCTAACTTCCATATTTGTTTTCCAACCATTGATAAAATAAATCCCATATCATATAATATTCAATTTATTCCTACTCTTGAATTGCTAGTGTTAACCTATTCGTTTCTGCACAGTCTAATATTTTCCTAATCACACTCTCTTCAGTCAGAATCTCTTCACTTTTCCAATTTTGTGCAAAAACAATTCTAGCTGTAGTTAGTACGTGAATAATTAAATATACATTCTCTTTACTATAATTTTCAGGTATATTTTAGGTTTTAAGTCAATATGTTGCTGTATCATCTTTTCCAACCACGTATGTATTTTTGTCCAATATCTTTTAGCTTCTACGCATGTCCACCACATATAATAATATGTTCCAGGTCCGTTGCCATTTGTTCATTGGGCTACTTTCAAGCACATTCTTCTGGAAGAGCAGTAAATCTGTCTTCAGAAGGAGTCTGAACAGGAGTTTAGCACACTCTCAAAAGGACATTAAAGCCATGTTTCAAAGTAGCCTGAAAAATCAGCTGACTGATGCTGAAGGGCTGTGTGATGGAGCATGATCTCTTCTACTTCACTACATGACCTACCACCTGCTTTTCAGATGTGCCAATAGATGCTGCAGTCTAGCAGGATTATCTCTCTCACCCCTTCTTCTACTAGCTTCTTCAAGCCCTGGCACTTCAAAATGGCCTACTAAGGCTGGGAGGGATGGCATTGGAAGGGAAAGGGAGAGGGCTGATCATCTATATAGACTGGAAGGGGTATCATCACTTTCCATGTATTTGGAAAGGAGCAGAAGAATGAGTTTGAGATGAAGCAGTGGGAGGATGGCCTAATAGTCCTTGGAAATACAGCAGAAATTACAGGAAGAAACCAGGCCATTACAGAACAAATTCTTGAGTCCTGTGAAAGGGAAAAGCATGAATAGTAGATTCTGAGTAACTCTGCCTTAAATCACACTAGGTAGAAGTTGTGTGGGAGATTGACTTTGGTAGGCGTTTGAGATTCTATTACTCTACTAGCAATAAATACCTTTTTTTATGAAACCAAGTGATTCTTGTTTCCCAGCTTCTTCCCAGTATCCCAGGAGTGTCTGAAGTGGCACCAATAAAATATCAGTGTCAATGCTGAAAGCAACTTGAGAGAATTTTTAAAAAGCACTAGCTAAAGCGGCACAGACTTATAAGAAACAGGCAGCATTTTGCAAGTACAGTATCTTCTTTTTTTATATATTACCTTAGACATTCTGAACATTAAATGATAACCACATGTCTTCCTCTGCTGTTTCTTAGTTGCATAATTTCAATTTTAAGACCTTTGGGGAACAGAATTCTCATCCATGTAATACTTATTATCAGTTGGGAACAGGATAGATGTGAATAATAACTTTTGCAGAAATGAAAGCATTTTATTAAATGTTAGAGAGTTAAAAATATCTGGCTCACCCATGGGCATAAGCTCAAATCATTTCCTGCAGCAAGACCAAATCAAGACCATTTTCTTTCATTAGAATTGAGCCCAGCTTGCTCCCATGTACACTCATTTTCTCACTTGCCCTCTTTCTTCCCTTACATAGGGATAGATAAAAAAGGAAAGAATTTTCTCTCTCATAGAACTGACATCCAGTTTTCACTGGTTAAAGTTATCTTAATAGTGCCAAAATCAGCTTTAGAATTTAGAGATTAAATTATTCAAAGTTGAATGGCTTTTGCTTTTAAAAATATTTCATTTAGTCAAAAACAAAACAGTGCATCCTAAAAGAATGCCTATTTTGTTGGAAAGACACCATGAGCTATAGACAACTGAGAGCTTCAGTACTGTATAACTTTTATGAGTTTATCAGGTTTTGGTTTAATCAAGTTATTTTTATTATTAATTCAATTTATATGACCATCCATCTCCATACAGTAACTTGAGTTAACATCACTTAAAGTCATAATGCAAATTAAATACCTGTTAGGACAAATACAGCAAGAAGACAATCTTCTGCAAAGAATCTGATGGGCTGCAGCCATTAATCCAATCCCAATCTTCAAAGCTTTCCAAAAAGCTGGCGGGATCAGGGCCAATCTAATTTTAGGATGGGTGGTGGGTGGTTTGATGGATTCCAAAAGGCTGATGCTGCAACAAAAAAAGGCATGCTTTGTAGAAATGCAAAGGGTTGAGCTTGGATTGAATATGGAGTGTACTGGAGAGATCAGAATAGAATTTCTGGGAGAATTTGATGAGTTAAAGAATTGGTTTGCAATTAGACACGCAATGCAGAAACATTGATTCTTTGCATCTTTTATCCTATTAAGCAGTAGAGACATTAGGAGTAGAGAAAGCAAGCAAGGAATTCCTCCCTCCCTTAGTTCTTCCCTCCCTCCCTTCTTCCTTCCTTCCTTCCTTCCTTCCTTCCTTTTTTTCTCTGACTAGAAAATGCCTCCTAAGATCTTCCCTTTAGCTTGTTTTCCACAGGAAAAATGTAGAGAACTTATTTTCATCTTTTCTCCTGTATCAGTACAGAAAGTTAGAAAAACACAGGGTTTCTGTTAAGTCACAGAATCTTCTGAATAATTTTACTTACGTTGTTGTTCTTTAAGCATTTGGCTACAGATATTCTTCATTTCTACTCATGTGTTACTCTACTAAACTGGGACCCCAGTGAACAAATTGAAAGAGTCCCTCAAATTATCCATGAAACTTTCATTACTGGGTGAAACTGAACACCATGAAATGGATTTATGTAGTTAAATATTTTTAACCGGCACTATATTAATTCTGTTCCTCAGTTTCACTCTTTTTCTTCTCTATGTTCCATCTGGATTGCCTGTGATTTTGATTTCATGGTGACTTGATTTCTTAAGATTAGAGGTTTCAGAACCTTCCCTCATTGTTGAAGTGGAATTGCCAGCAATACCACTTCAGGAGTAAATTGGAGAGTTAAAAGGAAAGATTTAAAAGATGCTTGGCGTGTCAGTTTTGTTCAAAGCTATATTGGCAGTTGCTATATTGACAGTTGCTTCATCAGAAGAAAATCTTCAGCCTAGTTAGCTGAACTATATATCAAAGATATATGCCCGTAGCTAGGATATGTCTGAAAAAAGTTAGATGCTGAGGATGGTATCAGGAATGAGATCAATCATTGTGCTTTGTTCCTACCAATGCCTCCTCAAATAGCTGCTCTCAAAGTTTATTTGAACCCTTTGACATTCATTAAGATATATTTCAGAAGAACCTCATCTCCCATTTGTTATGCTTATCCTCTTTCTCTTCCTCAGTACCCATTTCTCCCATGAAAGAGGAAAAAATTTGTGGATTCCACCCTAAGCTCCAGACAGAATAATCATTTTTGTTTAGCCAGATGCCGGGTTGGGAACAAAGGAGAGTGAAGGAAATGGAGATGCTGTTCCTTCTTTTCATTTTGGGCTGGAGCTGCTT